TGAGCCACCACTTAATTGCTAGAATCTATCCGTTCGCGTATTTGGTTTGTCTTCTTGCTCATTTATTTATAATATCAAAGTATCGATATATCGAAATTAATCGCGATTAGATAAACTAAGTATGAAGCAATGCATGTAAGACATTTATTACATGCTTTTCTGGACGAAAACGAGTAAATTAATGCTCGGTTTCACCACTACTAACCACGAACAAAATACGTAATAAAAAAGAAAGTGCATCAATTAATTGCACTATTAATCAAATGAATTTAACCGATGAGACAAGAAAACCTATCCTGAACTAATATAAAATATACAATACAATATATAATACAATATAMAATTTTCATGAGTAACTCCTAGAAAGGAATAACTCATGTGCTCGTTATTAATTTATTTGAATAATTACAACCAGTAACTCGTGCCGATTAGGACCTTTCATCCTCGGCATGATTGAGCACCGGAGGGACTTTAAATTTTTTCACTCACTCAGTAAGAAGTTCTACGATGGCTCCAAAACACTCCTACTTTGCAGCAAGTATTGTAGTCTGACGATCGAAGTATTTCTCCATTTGATGTTGAAGAAGATCCATCGAAGATCCATCGAAGATCCATCGATGATCCATTGAAGAATTCATCCCACATCTTTGGTAAGGTAGAAAGTCCGTCGTCATATCTGTAAAATAAAATAAAACAAAACGATAAGTTATTTATAATATAATACAAAATCATATAAAATATAAATAGAATAAAATCGAATTAAAATGAATACTTACAATGCATTCCAATGGGATGAAACTCAGTTGCACCATGGCGATGCACCTCGCGTGAATCTAAAAACGCGATATAAACGAAAATAAGAAACTATAGATGAGTTTCTTATCGCGAAACCGAAATTTAATTATACGGCGAGCAACACTGATTCTAATTCGCGTATGATTTTAATTTATTATGCATCCGATCACTGACTCTACAACTGCTTCCAAAGACTGCTTTGCACACAGTCAATGCAAGTATCAAAATCTTCATTGATGCACTGATTCTAATACGCGGACAGTCTGTGTGACTGTTTAAAGATAAAAATACAACTTTACTCGAATAAACTCTAATGCAATTACACTGCATTGGTCGCAGTTAATTTAATATAGAAATTTCAAAAATAATTCGCGAACGCAACGGAATTGAAATTAACGAACGAACGTGCTTCTAACCTGTGATTTTAATTTTATTTAAACGATCAAATACTCTCGTATATTGCTTCGCGCACGATTGTAATGCACGAACACTTGCAACACTTTACAAACACTTCTAACGCTGCAATATTCCCATGATGATCTGAAACAGAAATAAAAACAAAATTATGAATATCATTGTTGTAAGAAAAAATTATAATAATTATTAAGAAAGTGTTTAAAATAAAAATTGACTTACGTTTATTCTTCAGTGATGAATGCACGATGGGTTTCCTACCCTTAGGATGACGATGAGCACACGTTTAAACCGAATAAAAGAAACTTACGGAGTTTCTTTACACGAAAAAACGAAACTTTTACATACGGCGTACAACACTGACTCTACTTTCCGATTCTTTTATGTTTTATTTTATCGATGCAACACACGAATACTTCATTGCCTACGTGCTCGATTGCAATGATATTCTGAAACAGAAAAAGAAAAAGAACGATTAATGTCATCGTCGTGATAAAAAATCATTGCAATTATCACAGAAATATTTGATAGAAAAATATACTTACTTTTACTCTTCATTGATGACTGCAGGATGGGTTTCCTACCCTTAGGATGACGACGATTAAAATAAAATAAAATAAAAAATCTGTAAAGAAGCTGAAACATACTAAAGATTATATTATAGTACAATATTACCTGTTAATCATTTCTGAAGGCATTTCACACACTTTAAAAAATATTCTATCATAAATAATTAATGTTAGATATAAAAAGTTGTCTAATCAGCGCAGTTGTCGAATGTTTTAATTAGATAACACGTTAGAAATAAAATTATGAAATAGTTGAATACGTAACGTTCGCGTTAGATCTTAACTAGTTAAAGGACGGAAGGGGAATGAGGTGCGTTACTGCTTATCCTTCGTCAAACGTTCGGCTGTTTACGTTTTATCTTCGACTGTCTTTCTTCACCTCGATAAATTCCTGGAAATATACACACCAATTCATAATTGCCTGTACGTGGAATGTTTTGTTTTTCTATTTTCTCTCTCTCTTTCTCTCTTTCTCTCTCTCATTCTCGTTCTCACTCTTTCTATACATTTCTATATAGTTTAAAAAAAGAATAACGCTTACCTCGATGAATATGAAGATAAAAAAGAGTAAACACAATTTTTTGACTGAGTATATGTATYTCTGCTGGACTCTCCCAATGCCTTAGAAACCTAAATAAAATAAAAAAAAATAAAATTACATTAGTATAATATAAAGAAAGCCAAATACATGAGAATGTATGTGTACGAGCTACAAGCAAGTTCGAACTTTTCGAGAATAGCTCTCTAGTCATATTTTATATTTTATTATATTACTTTCTTGCTCGTCATTAATTTGTAGTTTTAATTGGAGATGATGGACCATTCCATCTCCTTGGGACACCAAATTTGTGTCCATCAAAATCGTCAAAAAGATGCATATTTGTTTGGTTAGAATCAGAAATATTAAAATTTTTGTATTATTTAATTTTAAAGCTGTAAGTCTAAATAACGTTCGGTAAATATTACAGTAATTTCTCTTTTCTCGTTTCGTCTTTACAATTTTTTACTGTGATCGTTTTTTATTCAATTTGCTATTTTTCTTTTCTATATAATGCAGTTTAAAAGATTTTCATAATGATTAATAAATATTATTTTTTTTAATAACTTAATATTTTTACTTTTTCTATTTCTTTATTTTTATTTATTTCATGTAAATGTGTAAAATCACGCGTTTAAATTTAACTTGTGTGCAACGATAATTTGAGATTTGATAAAAATAAATAGAAAATTTAATTGAAAAGTGCATCTGCGAATTGGACGATTTATATGTCCAGCTATTGTATCACTTGACTGTATGACTAATATAGTTTTCTTTTTTTTACAGGTGATCATCTACCCGTTTGGATTTTCTTCTACTTGAGTTTCTGTAATGACTACTTTTTAAATACATTTCTGAAGGCACACACACAAAAACTTAATTTGTTATATACATTGTTATTTGAAATTCTATAGCATATATAGTTCTAAATATTTGTGAAAATTTACCCTTTTTTTTAGGTACATTTCCTATAGTCATCTAATCGTAGATTCATAAATTTTAAAAATATATATCATATATATTTGTGTGAAAAGTAATTGAAATATAATAAAGATAAAACGAAAACGAATCTGATTAAAAAAATATTTTTTTGATTAAATTTGTTTATAATATTTTCTTTCAATTTATTACATTGAAATAAATATATATGAATGTGCAGTTCAAAGTAATTATTGTACATAATCGACTAGAAAAACTTCACGTTTTATAGATAAATAACATAGTCATTAAATAAAGATAATTATCAGTATTTCCCCGAGTTTTGTATACTGGAAATATCTCGTGAATATCTGAAAATAGTATCAAATTTGCGTACGATGTTTATCTTTCGAAATCTCCTACAGATCGTTCGAGTTGTACTCTAAAGTTTCGATCTACGTTACCATCGCATCCATTTTCGATAATAAACTTTCTACAAGCTTCCGTTGACGTGTAAATATCTTAGAAGACTATTATCGTTTTAACTTGATAAAATAGTCGTTCATAATTTCTAACATTCGATACGTAATCAATTTGAAGAAAAAATGAATTTTCAAAAATCAGTTTACATGAACTTTGTTCATCTATTTGATCTCAGTAACGATGAGGAAAAAAATAAACGAATTGTACTGCAACTATTACAGTTTTAAAGTTACCTTATTAGTAAGCTTAAATAGAGAGGCTATAAACTTTCTGTTAAAAATAATTTTCATCTTTCATTAACAAGAAAAATATGTATTTCATATTTCATATATACATATATATACATATATACTTATGAATATGTACCTTGTCATATAATATTTATTGCAAATAATATCGGAGAATACGTAATTTCCATAATGATATCTATAAAAGATTATCGAAATGCAAAAACTAATTTATATTAATAAAGAACCTTTGTTGTTATTGTCTGCGAATAATATGGCACGTACTTTCATTATTTTTAATTAATAAATCAGTAAAATACGTTAGCATAATATAAATTACCAAAATCAGAGATCAAATATCTGTTTATTTATTACTCTCAATAAATAAATTGAATTCTAATAAAATTAGGTAAGGAATAAATGCAAAAATAAATTTAAATAATTTACAAATCAAACCAACGTCAAATTTATCTGATCTTTTTTTCTAAAGATTATATTAAAAAATATAATAATAATCGAGTATTTGTTTTTTTTTAAGTAAGTTACATTAAATATTTTATGTTAATTAGAGAAATAAATTGTATAATATATTTATTTTTTCTTTTTCTTTAAATTTAGTAATTTTTTTTATAATCATAGTGCCATCTCCAATTGCATTTTTTTAAAACTAGATGGTGCACATGTGCAATTCTTAAAATTTAAAGTTTCATCTTAAGTACAGAATATATCTAATAGATGGCGTTGTCAAATAGTAAACAGTAGTAACGGACGCTCTTCACTGTTTGGCGGTATTGCTTAATTATTTTATCTAATTTATTTTCAAATCTTTTTGGATTTTCAATATTATATTAAATGATTGTAATATTAAATATGTCAGTGTACCATTCGTAAATTGTTAATGATCAGTTTAATATTCGTGAGTTAACAAATTTCTATCAATGTTGTGGAAAATGGTGAACTAACCTGAAGGCTTGTTTACTCCTTCATATATTTTGGTCTTTCTTTTTCTTTTTCTTTTTCTTTCTCTCTCTCTCTGTCTCTTTCTCTATCTTTTTCTTTCTTTTTCTCTTTCTGTTGTATATATTTTACTCCAAATAATCCAAAACTGTCAATATATATTTTAATCCATAATAATGAGTGTAGAAAAAAGTTTAAGAAAATTACTAGTGAAATAACGGTGATTAATAGTGAATTAAGGGAGTTATTAATATATTTGATCAAAATAATTCAAATATTTATCTATAGAATATAATACATCAATTGATAAATTAATAATATGGAAGGTATGTGAACTTTTTGACGGTGTATGGAACTTCAGCGTGGTTATTAATTACTGCTGATGGAAGAAAGAGGATAATGAGTGATTCGGATGATACAGATGTCCTACTCCTGATCCCACCTGATCTCTTCCTTGTACCATCCTCCTCTGATTCCGACATTAGTAGACAGAGTTATGAAAAATTAGATCGCTCTTGTGGAAGAAGAGGAGTTATATCGGAACTAGTTGGTCATATGCAATCTTTAGAAAGTAGAATATCTGCTATTGAGTCTAAAGATAACAGTTTGGATATATCCTTATTGGAAAATTCTCTGGATTTTCAAACTCAAGACAACGGACACTTGTATCGTAAGCAATCAATCAGAAGCAACTTTTCTGTAAGTCAACCGTCCAGTTTGCAGACTAGTCCTGTGAAACCTCGCAAGTCCCTCTCAGTTCCTTCTACACCAACTAGGTATGTATCATCCAATCGTACTAACTCAAAGCAGAATGATGTGAGATCGAGTCATTATACTCTGGAAACTAATAATACTAACCCTGTTAATACTAACGCATGTGATCATGAAAAGCATGAAGGTTTAGAATCTCATACGGATTCTCTCTTGGTACCATCTGTTTTTTATCATTTTGGGATCCCGCATGTTGTTGCTGGTACTTCGGTAACAAGGGAATCGTATTCTGTTTCAAATGATAATCACGGTGCAAATAATATGTACAGTAAAGCTTGCGATAAATCATATTTAGTACCATCTACCTTGCTTAATACAGTAGGACAGCATAAAGTGGATTGTAAAAAGATAATAAACATGGAGATTTCCGAAGTGGATGAACTTATTCAAGAAATGGAAGCTACCGATTTGGAGTTATCTAAAAGAATAAATGGTGCTACTTCATATCAATGTAATCCGAAGAAGGTGGAGTCATTTCTTCAAAAACAAGCTAGTCAAGGCATCAACGAAATTGAATCTATTTCCAAAAATCAAGAAATTCATGCTTATACTGATTTATCATTAACTACCCGTCCAAGTAGTTTATTTCAATTAGATGAAACCGATAAATTAATATCTAATTTTAAACAATGGGAAGAAAGAGTTCGTCAAACTGTTGCTGATAAGAGTCATAATGTTCAGAATATGGAAGATAAAACTACTAATAATATAGAACAATTACATAGTAAAAAAAGTTCTGATTTTACCTTATCTATGCCAGAGTCAAATCAAATTAAATTCAAGAAAAGCGAGATAGGTAGTAGTAATACAAAGGAAGTACAAAAGAATATAACAAACATCTTAGAAAGTTCCGAAGGACTACATAGTGGTAGTGGGCAGAATAAACATACAGTAGTTCCTGAAGTTACAGAAACTAGATCTGAACTTTTAACAAATATTTGTACAAAACCACTTTATTCTAGTAGCTTGCAAGATATAGTCAAAGACACAGAATCTTCCTTAAGGTATATTTTTAAATATAAAGATTAGTCTTGCGTTATTTTTTATTTAATAAGAAAATGTAAAATAATTAACAAAATTGATATTTTTTATTCTTTGCAAGGCCACAAAAATTATTATCTTTGTCAGACTTTTGGGATACTAATACTAACAAATCGCAAGGAGAAATGATTAGAATTAAATTAGAAGAAGAAAAATTTCGAAGAGAAGTATGATCAAATTAAAAAATTTAAGATCTATACTTTGAATTGTGATATTTTTAAAAATAATTTTTATTTTAGCATTGCGAAATATTAATTCAGGAACTTCAAAAACGTTTATTGGAACATCAAGAAAAACTCGCGGTTGCCGTTAGAGTAGATTACGAAAAAGATATATTAATTTCACAATTTAATAATGCATGGTCGAAATTAAAGCAACGCGTTAAGTTATTAGAAAAAGAACACGAAGATTTAGAAAAAAATCTTACGAATATCAACGAGAAACATCAATCCGAGATAAACGAATATCAATCACAAATAAAACGTTTCGAGAACGAATTGTCTAAAGCATTAGACCTCGCGGCTGGTTATAAAGAAAAAAGTGATAGTTTGATGAAAGAAAAAATCGACATGTTAAAATTACATGCTGATGAAATAGAAAATTCTAAGACTTTAATTCAAGCTGCAGAAAATAGAAATCAACAAATAAAACTAGAATACAATAAATTAATAGAAACCAATCAACAAAGTGAAGAAAGTTTAAGGAATGTTCAACAGGAATTGAATAGAGAACGTTTACGAAGTAACGAAGTTAAAAATGAAATGAGCGTAATACATAAAGCATTAGATACTTGTGAAGCAGAATTAACAGTACTTAAACAAGAAAAAGAAAATTTACAACTTAAGATAAAAGAAGAAATTAATAGAAATAATATTTTAGAACAGAAAAACATATTTTTGCTTAATTCTTTGGATGATGCGAAAAAAGGCGAAGTACAGTATCATTAAAAATAATATAAAATAATACATGGTATCCTAAAAATCGTTTTATAAAGGAAAAGAAAAATAAAATACAAAATGTTAGATAAAGATGGCTGATTAATCGTTTTTACTATAGAAATAATGGAGACCATTCGATTAATTCTAATAAGCACGGATTTTATTTATTACTTCCACAAGAACTTATTACAAACACGTGAAGTTGAGACAGATTCAACATTCATCACTAATAATAAAAACAAAAGTAGGATTCTCACATTATAATTGTGCGTGCGGACCTCGCCTTTTCTCTTTACTTTCTTCATACATTGTTTTTTTTAAATTATCTTTAACACAAAATCAATATTGCAATATATTGTTTTTCATTTCAAGATATTAATTTCTAATTATAACGTTGCTAAAAAGATATTGGTCCGAAATGCCACCATTCTGAATATTTAAAAGAAAAGATTTCTAATTTTTCTGTTTGATAAAGCGATTTTTAGGTCATCATGCATAACTTTATATCCCATGCGTAATAATCTGATTCAATTGTATTTATTATTAATTCAGAGATTGGCAAAGGAGGAAAAGAAAGCTTTAGAGGAACAACAGATTAAATTGAGCAGCGAGTTACAAGAGGTATATCAAAAGAAACTCGACGAAGTCGTCAAATCTAAGTTGCAGGAGTTTCAAACACAATTAGATTCGGCGGAATTAGAATTCGTTGAGGAATTGAAATCAAGGCAACAAGTTATAGCCGAATGCGCGGCAAGCAAAATCAAAGAAATTATTAATAAGTAGGTGAACAAATTTCATTAGTCGAAAAAATAACAAAATTCAATATGCAATAATATAATAATTGTAGTTGGAACGATTAATAATAGTCGAAATTTTTGTTTGTTTCAACAAATATTCGTATTTAGGCATCAATTAGAAATAAATTTATTAGAAGAAAAGCACAAAGAAGAAAAACGGTTGTGTGAGTTGCAATTGGCCCAAGCTACGCAAAAGTCATCATTATTAGAAATGCATTTGAATTCGCAACGTACTAATAAATCACAATTGGCGGAACAATTGCATTCGGTAATGCAAAAACAATGGCAACAGGCGTTACATATTATATCAGGTATCTCGTAATCGATCGATAACGTTTATACCATTCGTGCATTTTAATTTTTTTATTCCATTAAACATTTCATATGATTTTTCTTTTTATTTTTTTTTTCTTCTTCTTCTTTTTTTCTTTTGTTTTTTTTTTCTTTTGGTCATTCATAATTTTTCACGATCACATTTATAGGTGGTAATATCGAGAATCTGTCTCCGTTAGAAAGAATAACGGCGGAGAAATTTTTTGAAAGCAAAATGCCGAGTGAAACAATGTCAAATTGTCAAATCAAACTTTCGCAGGAACCGTCGATGATACCGGCAACGACGTCGTCGTCGTCCTCTAGAATGCAAACTTTTCAGAATGAACATAATCGTAACGAAAATTTAATCGATACTCCATTATCAAATAAAATGGATTCGAAAGAAGATCTTCGTAAATATATCAAACTCGTAAGAACGTTTTATTGATGAAAATAAAGGAAGAATTTTTCGTATTCATGTTTATTACTACATTTATTTCATAGATCGCCGAAATGCAAGAACCTAAACAAGAGTATAGTTTTTTTGAACATACTATGTCCTGTTCTCCTACAGTTTACAGAGAAGTACCACGAAAGCACTATACTAAAAAAGAATTAAGTATTACGAACGAAGATAGTACTTTATTGCAAGCTACCTCGGAGGTTTGTTTTGTTTTTGTTTTTCTTTTTAATGAATCAATTCATTAAAAATCGATTAATTCGTATGAAAAAAGAAAAAAAAAGAAAAGAAAAAATAGAAAAATTTTATTACAGAGCTCGGCGCACGATTGCAGCGAATATATATCTGTACCTCAAAAGTTCAGCAGTAAAACTGATCAACAAAGAAATAAACCACCGTGGAAATGATATTCGATTCACAACCATGTAAATGATAATTCGGGTATAGATGAAGTTGATATTGTACGAGAATATCGTTTCGGTGCAGTACAATTATCTAGAGATAATTATAAAAATTGAGATATTAATTATTTTATTTAAAAAAAAAATAATTTTTTATTTATTTATATTTTTTGTTTTCTTTTTTTTTTTTGGTTTTTGCTATTTTTTCTTTTATAAACATTCCAATATACTTGAGCGAAAGTATTTAATACAGTATTTTTCTATCACAACAACCACAATTCACGTAACTTTAACTTATTAATCCTTTTTACATATAATATAAGTTTTTCATCGCAAATGAATACTATACCGACAACATAATTACATTGCTATGTCCGAAGCAGAGGAAAAGGATGTACGATTAGACAAACGTGGTTCATTGATAATGAAACAATTTATCTCTTGAGTTTCGTAAGCCGCGAACAGAGTTTATTTTCATTTTATTGAACGAGTTTGAAATTTTTTCTTTTCCCTCTATAACCCAATTTGCTTTAGTACCTGAAAAAGAAAATAGTTAAATATGTGAAACTTTCATATTTAACATAGTATTTGATATAATAATACCTATATTAAATATACTCTCTCTATATTGATTATTAATTAATAATATTGGTATATACACTACATGGCATATTTATATGTAATAAATAATATTTATGTTATGTGTACAGAGTGTCATAATATTTTTTCACAAAATTTTATCAGCATATTTGTTGTATAAAATCTTGTTTTTATTTTTACTCGTAGAATGTGTTGGTAAAATTTTACGTTAAAAACCTAGGATATTCTGTGTATATAAAATATTATAAAGTTACATGATGTTATAGAGAGTTAAATATAAATTAAACATTTTTTTTTTCTTTTTTTTATTAGTAAACCTAATTCAAAATCCAACTTAATGCATTTACGAACATAGGAAACTCGTCATTTACGAAAGAGGATTTATTTTAAATGAGACATTGTGTGTAGTAAAATATTTGTATTTCGATATTCGCGTGATCCTTCTCTATCTATTATAGAATCTGTACGATATGAACTAAAGTTGGTCATAAACTCCAGATTATTATATTTCGTAGTTCACCATGAGATTATACGTGAACTGTTATTGAATTGCAATAGGTTGGTAATGTCTCGTGAATAGTAATAGTTCGTCAGGATCAACCCTACGCATCAAAATAGTATCGTGAACCGTTTCGAAGGTGAGACGTTACTATTTGTCTTGAAGAGCTCTAACTTCTTGCCAACTTCGAGGAGTAAAGAACGTTTAAGCGATTAGAGACTCGGTGAAAGATGATGAAATGTACGGACCCGAGAGAAGAACGAAAATGTCTTGGAGTAAGAGAGAGAGAGAGAGAGACTCACAAAGAAAAGAAAATGTAAATCCGAGTTGAAGGTATGAACATACACACACAGAGATTAAGTTTATTTTATATTATATTATTAATATAAATGTTTGAATATATAATTATTGAAGGAGTTCAATTGATATAATTAATAATTTATTAATTATTAAATATTATTTTAACTATATTTCTGATTTTTGAATAATCAAGTAAATATTGTTAATATCATATAATACTAATTATCTTTATTTAGAATTATTATCATAAATAGAGATTAGTTAAACGAAAACATTTTACATAGATGACTATTAAAAGTAACTGTAGATAATTATCTTATCTGAAAAACAAATTAATACAAATTCTAATTACACAAAAAAATCTCATTACAGATAAAGACTAATTTATACAAAATATCTTACATATAGATAAATAATAAATGTAATTATAATTATCTCTCATATTAAAGAAAAATGAAATAAATCATAATTCTGATATATTTCAAAATACACTTAATAAATCATCAAATAGCTTATACAGATAAATATCAAACATATAACTATAATTATCTCTAATTAGAAATACTAATGTAATCGTCTATTATCCCATCATATCCAAACTAATTAATTGTCATTATAAACTGTTTACAAAAATAATTCAATTTCTTAGATAAAGTAAAACCCCAACTATTGTGTGGAACAACCAAAAGCAAAAAGAATCACATCTGATGGGACGGACAGCTTCAATTCAGGATATATCAACGTCTATGGAAAATCTTGTTGCAAGTTGGCGCCGGTTATGAGGATCCTATGCAGTATATGGAGAACAAGTTGCCGATTGAAAACGAAAGAGAAGGAAGAATGCAAAGGGAGGAACGTGATAGTGACCTATCCCTCCTCCCACTTTTATTTTTTTTCTCTCTTTCTCTCTCTTTCTCTCTATCTCTCTATTTCTCTTTATTTCTCTTTCTCTTTCTCTCTGTGGCGCCTCACAGAGATAGTAGGTATATAGTAGTCATGAGCTCGTTCGTTCTTCACGCTCGCTTCGTGGCCTTTTAGTCGAGTACTCGTCGGCGAGTTTCGTTCCACGAAGAGATACGACAAAACCAAACGACAATTTCTACTCCTCGTGTGCGTGTCTTTCTATCTTTCTGTTTCTTTTTCTCTTTGTCTTTTTTTTTCTTTCTCTTTCTCTCATTTTCATCGTGACTCTCATCGTGACTCTCGTGGCACGAACTCGAACGCGAGTCCACGAGAGTAGAATGCATCAAGTTGGAATAAAACGTTTCAAGTTCCTCGATTATTCTTTGATCGTTCTCTCATTGTTATTGTTCGTTTCTTTGATCGGCTATAGTACTGGAATCGGCTGGAAAAGACGAGAGGACAAAACGAAATGTCCAAGAGTCAAGGGAATACGAAACTTTGACATATCAGAGGTAACAATAACATTTCCTAAGGATCTTCGTCCTTTTTATTCAAATTTTTTCCTTTGTTTTTTTTTTTTATTATTGGATTAACCCGAACACATATTTCACGTTTATTATTATTATTTTCGATGTAAAATATATATATTTTTGTATTCTCTAAATCAGGGTAAAAAGAACTTTCTACAAAAGAAGCTCCTATAATTTATTTCTATACTTTCGATTATATTTCAAAAGAAACAAACTATTTGGTTTTTATTTCATTTTTTGTATGTAATACACGTTTATCCGAATTGAGATAATTTAAAAAAAAAAAAATGTGATAATAGTAATATAATATATTATAGGGAAAGGGAAAAGATATGACAAAAAAATTAATTTCTCATCCCATAATTTAGTCGAACCTGACTCACAATTGTTTTTAATGGAAAACGTTCGCACGTTTGTTCGTTCGTTCACTCGTTCGTTCTTTGTCTGTTGACGTATGATAAAATCCATCCATTTATTAGCCGCTAATATTGCAGCTTTCCGGATTGACGATGAACGGTAATTTAGCATCGACCAGTCAGCAGAGTAAATAGCGTTCTGTAACGCGCCGATTCAAATTGTAATTTAATTGTCCCGGTACTTCGATCTTCCGCGATATTGAAAACGATGTTTTCTCGATCGTTCCAAACTTGTGCCAAAAAAGTGACACAGATAATAATTTTCTTTTCGACGTGGAAACAAATTGATATACACGACGTTGTTACATTTTTTCGACACTTTTTATTACGGTAACAATAATATTTTGTGAAAGAAATGTGATATTTTTTTCTCTTTCTCTTTTTCTGTCTCTCTTTCTCTCTCTCTCTCTCTGTCTCTCTATCTTTAAACAGAATTTTTAGCAAATTTATTTTTAGATTGTCGCGTAGTATACGGTGGAAAGCAGTTTCTACTATAATGCATGAATTTTCTTCTAATTCATAATTACGAGTTTAATTTTTATATTAAAATAGTTTACATTCGCGAGTATTCATAAGTATTGATTTTTTTTTAATAAAGTGTATAATAAACACTATGTAAATAATAATATAAATATATTATATTATAATAATTTACCTAATATAATATCTATCTAATATGAATAAATTATAATCAAAATATTATATTATATAAAACAAATATATTTTATAACACAAATAATATAGATATTTACAAGATGTTATATATTGTAGATTGTATATTATTTTAATTACTTTTTGATAAAAAAAAGAAAAAAGCATAATAATTTACTGTATAAAATAGATTAAATTAATTACTATGGTATTAAATATATTTAAAGTAAATTCGTTTGAATTTTCATAGTAACTAATTGCGGGATATATACTTGTATTTCGATCGAGACTTTAAACGACTAATTTGATTACGAGCTCGCAATTATCGCATCCGGATCTGAATTATCTTTCCGTGAGGTCAACGGGATAACCATTGTACTGAACTCAATGATCCTTGATAGTATAGGAATTTGATGTTATTTTCGAACTGTTTTCTTGACCCATTCTAAAAGTATTCACAACGAAAAGTAGTTTGTCCGGGTGACTACTTGGAAGTACGCTTCAAGTATGAACAACTTAGACTATCGTGGTTCAACTAAAAATAACATCTTTGCGCTAGGAATTCGTAAATATTACGTCATTTTATGAAAATATAAAGTGTTCAAAAAATGATTTCGTTTTTTTATTTTTTTTAATGAAAAGTAAAAGAAAAAATTTATTCATGATTTAAATCCAAGGTATTTTAAGTGATACTGAATAGTTGAATTCGATAAATGCAATTTATCAATTATTTTCCGCGTTGTTATTTGACAATGATCATTCACCTTTATTTTATCGTCATCCCCTTCAACGGGACAATCTAAATGTACATCTTTTACATTGAAATTATCAGAAAGAAATTTCAATAATCAATTTTTACACTTGACTATTTACTTTACATAATTTTTATTCTCTGCAAACTATTATCTGCAAACTATTCTAATCGTTTAAAAAATCTTCACTTTTAAATATTTGTTGTTGTTTAAACTAATATATATAAGTCGTAAAAATTGTTGTCATTTAGTAGTGTTAAGTCAAATTTTTAAGAAAATTAAAAAATTAGGATGAATCAAATATATCGCTTTTGCATAAAAATTATTACTATAAAATAACAGAGTCGATTATAATTAAAAATAAATCATATTGCTACTACTAATATTATTAGAAAAATTAATAATTGATTATATAATATAAACAATAAAATGATTGAATTAAGAAAAATAATTATATTATTATAGTTTCTTGGATCATGGTACATAGTACAATATTATGCTAGTTCCGAGGAAGCTCTAATTTATAGATGTATGAGAGCCGAATTGTCCGTTTCATCGGAAAGTGCAGAGGTTACTATGAATTTCACGTACAGTTTTACTGATGATCCGATCAATGAACAACTCGTTGGTAATATCACATGGAAAATTCCTTCGCCGGAGCTTCCAGCACATTGGGTTCATGCGGAATTTCCCTGTGAGTTTCGAATGCCTTTTTGTTCCTTCCATTAACGTGCGAACTTCATTGAATAATTCATATTTTCTGCGTAATACATTTTGATTGAGTCATTCTTTTAGATGAAGAAATATATAACACATATATATTGGATTCGGATTACAAAACGTGGGCTTTACTGATGCACTGCGCCGAAAAAAATAAAAGTCCACGTTATTTGTCTAGTTTTATTATGAGTAGACAACCTAGTTTAGGTGTTAATGTTATTTCTTATCTTCGTGAAAAATTACCAAAGTAAGTAGGCTTTTACATTTTATTTGTCTTTAATTTTTTGGTTTTTTTTTTTTTTGTAAAATTTGCTCTATTGTCAAATTATATTTCTTTTGGTTTTCTTAATTATTAATTATGATCGAATAATTATGATAGTGGAGTAAATCGAAAAAAATGATTTTATGAGATTTATCTAACATAACAATTATTTAAATTAATAATTATTATAATTACGAACAAAATTGTACTATTATACATTATATTGCATGTGATATTAAATAGAAATAATTATTTATTTAGAGATATGTGAATATTTCTTTTTATGAATAAACATACGCGTCGTTGATTTAATAAAAATATATACATTGTGTTAACAGATACGATATAGATTTGGAGTATATGTTTCCTATGGAACAAAAACAATGCAATCAAACGGATGTACCGCCATACAGTATATCTTTCGTTCCAATAACGACGGACAAGAAAATTAATTCTAACAGAAGACATTTATTTAAACGAAAACACAGACGACTTTAAAATACGATTAAATAATTCATTATGTTCATACGTACGTATGTATGTGTGTGTATGTAGGTATATCTCGTAATATTTCAATTACAACGATGTCGATACTTAAACTTAATATTATTAATTCAATTATTATGTTAGAGCACACACAATGCTCATCAATTCTTTTTTCTATTTATAATTATATAATAATTTTAATAAAACGTTATTTTTTCTAGATGCAACATAGTTCTCGTCGAAATTTTATTATTAAATATAGATATTTTTTATTATTAAACATTCTTTTTATCTACAAAAAATAAGAGTAATTTCATAATTTTTCTTTAAAAATATTATAGGTTTTTAAATATTTATATTATTAATTTAAATTTATTTAATTGGTCTCGTCATATATAATTCAATGATATTAATGGTAGGTATTTATATAGTAAATAGGTAATAACATATATTTAAAAGAAATAAATAAAAAAAATATGGAATGTAAGTCATTTATGGAAACGATGAACATTTTATTAATAATTAACATTCCTAAATATTCTTCGTTAGTTTTTGCTAGGTATGAATCTTTCTTGTACTTCTAAAATATTTATTCGATATAATATAATATGTATAATACTAATTAATTTGTATAAAAATTCTAGTAACATGTCTATTGGATCAAGGTAATATTTTGATTATTATTACATAGTTATTAAAAATTGGAAGTGCATTGTCTCAATAATATATTTTTTATAATTTATTTATGTGTATATATATGTTTTATATGGAAGTCTGTAATATATTAAGTTTTATATCCTGTACTTGTCAAATATAGTATAGTCGGTTTAAAGAATAGTCGCCTTAGTCGTCATCAATGGTAGGATTTTGGGTGCTTGGGCTTCAGCAGTTTGAGAATTTTTTCTAATTCCTGATCATTTAGTTTTCTTTTCTTTATAATCTTTTTACGATTAACAATAAGTTATAGGCTTTTTTTCTGTTATGATATCCCATGCAAAGCATCCTAATAGATTCACCTAAATTATGAACTTAACATATATTTATACAAGATCAAAACATTTCTTTTTGCATTTGCTTAATGCAGGATATCATTTATTGCTACTGTAATTAGTTGTAATTGAACTCAGTACTATTCATTCTAAAAGTACCATAGAAGTATCATGAAAATCATCATAATAGATAGGAAAGATTCAAGATCAAACAACACTTGGTCCTAACAGATCTTCTGAAGTCACTGCAACTCTGCAATTTCAATTAGATCAAATCAATTCATAATCTGGATTAAATTAACAATTCTTAGGATAGTCAAAGTTTTGGAGTATAAAGAAATATCTTGTATTTTCTTTAGATTACTGATATATTTTTGTTTCTTGTACAGCATGAATTTTCTCAAAATATTTCCAGATTTTTTAGTAATCTTCTAAATAATTTCACGAGAAATAAATCATACAAATGAGTCGAATTTCTTACTCAAAGAATTTATTGTTAATAAACACTTATCAGTCTTATCTTTAATGTTGATTTTCATCTTCTATCTTTGAATAGTATCAGAAAGTATCTTGTATTAGGCAATTGTGTTTGAATGCTTGCGTAGCGTTTTTCGCACAACAGCTTGTGGATCGAAGTTCTTATATATTTTATGGCTTCCTTTATGACTCTTAGAATTTTTATGTCATTAGTTATACTTTTATCGTCTAAAATATTCTGCAAACTGCTAGCCTTGTGATTTTTTAACTTCAGTTAATCTGCATAAAATGTCACCTCAATTTTCATCGAATTGTTTTCGAAATTCATTTAATAAGACATAACAAATTAAAAAGGCACACGCAAAATTTGCGAGTATATATTGTTGTTTTTTTTCTTAAACGGAATGTACATTGATCAATTAAATGATTATATAATCAAATTGAATCGTATGATTGTCAAAGATACAACTTAATATAAGAAAGGTAACAAACGTTTGAAAACGTTCAGATTTATAATTACGAACTTAATTGATCATTCTGTTTTTATCTTCTTTTTTGGGTTATATTTTAATTAAAAACTTAATTACTGCCTTAGTACAATTAAAAATGTATATAATTAAAATTATATAATATATATTTCTAAGAAAATACATTTCTGTGGTTTGTATAATCCTCTAAATACAAAGTCATAGTTTTCAGTACTTTAATCGATTTATGTAGAAAGTTAGCTTACAAAAAACGATTTTTTCATAAGCTTCACTAATTATTTTTTTTTATACGAAATACTTAGATAAATATATATCATCAAAATGTATTACATTATTTTATGGCAACTAATATTTAAAATAATACATACTTAATAATTGTGATATTA